CGCGGCATGAAACTGTGCAAAGTTTACAAAAAATTTTGAGATTTTACGGATCTTCCTTTATAATCATGTAGTTCCGTAAAAATCAGCCGAATCGTTATTTTATTATACAGATTTGGAAAGTAGAGATTTCAAACTACAAAATGCTTTTTTTTAAATCTCATTTTGACCATTTTTGTAGAAGTTACACTTCTTTAGTTTACCCATTTTTCGAAGGTGTGAGAGGTGATGCTTTAATTTATGCATGTAGTGTATTAGGATTTATAGATTTTCCGATTTTTACTAAAAAATAACGATTCACATAACTTTGAATGATTCCCTTAGAACGTAATTCCTATTCTACGTGAGTCTACATTCCAATTACTAAATAAAAAACTCTACATAAATCAAATGGAAAGCAGCCTAAAGAATAGTGTTACTGTTTTAGTGGAATCCCTATTTCTCAACTCGAACTTTGATTCTCTAGGCTTATTGCAGTACGGAAGAATACAGTCGCGAAGATCTTGGCTTCTGAAACATAAATCGGATTTATGCAAACGCGGGTCTTTGTCTATAACTTGTTTCCCGGCTGGCGACGGACGTCTAAGCGAGCAACCTGCTCTCACGTCCTTGCACGTAGTCTTTCTGAGATTACACAACAGGATAGCCATGGAATTATCAGCCATGAATTCTCATTGGAGCGACGAAAAACTTTTTCAAGAAGCACGAAGAATTGTCGGCGCAGTAATCCAACATATAACTTATCGAGAATTTCTACCGATTATTCTTGGTAAGACAACTTTCAATTCAGTAATTACTATATTTATTCGAAGATAATATGATCGATATTATCAATAGTGTCATAAAGATTAAAAAGTGATAAAGCGTTCTAAAATAAAAACACTAATAACGTTCTCCAGGCCCTCAGGTGATGAAAATCTTTGATTTGGAAGTTCTTAAAAAAGGTTATTTCAAAGGATACGATCCGACAGTAAATCCCACCATTGCAAATTCATTTTCTACAGCGGCTTATCGATTCGGACATTCATTGGTCCAGCGGAGCTTTATTAGATTTGATAGCAATCACAGACCCATTTTTAATAGTAAGTAAAATAATAGTAGATACTAAATGTTATTATTAAATATAAATATTATAAGTATTATGATTATATGATTATTGTTTAATATTATAGTAATAAAAGAAGAACAATATTTCAAAAGTACTTTAAAGTATATTTTTCAGGCAATATGTAATTCGTGATTTCAGGAAAAAATAGTCATTTCTATTTGTAATTTTATAATGTGATATAAAAAACATAAAAGATCAAAATTCACACTTATGTATATGAAATACCTTTTAGAATGCAAGATATATGGAATAATAAATAAAATTCCATTTTGAAATCTAACACACAAATTACAGATTGTCTAAGATATCCAAGTACAATCTCTTAAAGTCTTTAATTACTGGACTAAAATCAAAATAATTTAACACTACTAAATATAAATCTCAAAGAAAAAACAAACAAAACTTTTATGATCGTAAATATTCGAGGCACATGCATCGCGCTACTGCATTGCAGTGTATCTGCTGTATAGTTTAGTATATGATTAAATGCTTAAGGATAAGGGGATAAGATGATGACCTTTGTCATAGTTTGTCGATTTTTTCTAAGGTAAAACTTTACCTTTACTCAGTCAGCCCCGAATGACCTCCGAGTGATCTTAACCTTGACCTTTACTCTCAAGTAGGTCAAGATCATTAACCTCTTCCGTCGTTCGTTAGTCATTAAAAAGTTATGAACAGAACAATTTGTATGAATAGCACACAATTTTTAAACATAAAGTACATCTGGAGACACGGTAGTGTCTCGGCGCTAAGCCAAGCGCAGCGACACTGCCGTGGATACTTTACGCGAGCCGGCGAGTTGCGGCAGATTGAGATTATCAGATCTCAATAACGGCTGACCTGATCGAGTTCTATATACGCTCAATCGATAGCTACCGCTCGGATTATATAATAAAAGGGCTTTTATTTTTTTCCTATGTGCCCTACGAGCGGAGATATCGCGATGCAAAGTTCCGAACTACTACTTTTTTAGATTCAGATACGTCGTCGTCATTGTCATTATTATTGTCGTCGTCGACCGCAATCCTTTCGTCTCCGTCTGACATTCTTTACGCAAGGAGCGCTAGTTTCGTGTCCTTTTGACATTCGTTATGGAAGGAGTATATATATATATATATATATGTCATCACATATATACATATAATTTGACGCGCGCGTGGTGTCAAAATACGATGTGACGCACACTATTATTAATTAAATTATTAGTCGGCGCAAATTATTAATTAAAATTAAAATGAAATATTAATTAAAATTGAAATGAAATATCGAGATTGTCGTTGAAGATCTAGGTATTTACAACGTCGAGGAAGAGGGTGTCTAGATGTTCACCGTCGAGGAATTAAGCGTCTAGATGTTTGTCGTCGAGGAAGTTGGTGTCTAGATGTTCGTCGTCGAGAAAGTAGGTGTCTAGGTGTTCGCCGTCGAGAAATTAAGTGTCTAGGCGTTGTCTACATGTTCGCTGTCGAGGAAGTTGGTGTCTAGATGTTCGTCGTCGAGAAAGTAGGTGTCTAGGTGTTCGCCGTCGAGAAATTAAGTGTCTAGGCGTTGTCTACATGTTCGCTGTCGAGGAAGTTGGTGTCTAGATGTTCGCCGTCGAAGAAATGAGTGTCTAGATATTCGCCGTCGAAGAAATGGGTTTCTAGGTGATCGCCATCGAGGAAATGGGTGTCTAGGTGTTCGCCGTACGAGGAAGTGGGTCTAGATATTGGCTACTTGTTCGCTGTCAACGAAGTTGGTGTCTAGA